TCCGCTCGGGGTGGTGAGGGCAGAGGAGCCACTTGCCAAAGCAAACTTCAGCCCTGACAATTGCCATTATTGTTAACACCGGTGCTGTGTTTGCACTGCTTTGTCCCGCGCTGGGGCTCCGGGGGCACAGCAGCCCCCTGTGCACGAGGCTATGGCCCCGGCTGGGCAGGAGACCACCGTGACATGGCTCTGTGGTGGCATGGGGCGCCGGGCAGGGCAACAGCCCGAGCTGGGGCCGGGGCTTGCAGCACCCGTTGGTGCGTGGCCATGGGGTGCAGATGGTTCCTTTGGCAATCCCGGGTGTTTCAGACAAGGCTAACTTCCACAAGGAAAGGAGGGATGGTGCCGAAGCGATGCTCCTGCCCAAAATACCTCACCAGGGAGGTAAAAGAAAAGCTGAGCAGTAATATCTACTGCAGGCCTGACATTGCAATGGCCAGGGCAGTGCTCGGCTCCTGCAGCACCTCTCTGCAGTCTCTCTGCAGCACGTCATTGTCACTGGACTTGGGGGCTGGGCTCACAGAGGCGGCCGGCATCAAAGCACCTTGTCTCAGGGGGACCCCCCCGGGATGCGTCCCCCTGAGCTGGACCTGGCTCGGCTGTGTCCAGGGCAGCGTCACCCCATGAGGAGCAGGGAGCCACCGGACGTGGTGACACTGTGGCTGGATGGTGATCTCTCTCTCTCCCCGCAGTGAATCCCTGTTGCTATTTCCCCTGCCAGCACCAAGGGGTGTGCATGAGGGTCGGCCTGGGAGGATACGAGTGCGACTGCACGCGCACGGGATACTTCGGGGCCAACTGCACCTCCCGTAAGTCCCTCTTGCCCGGAGGACCTCTGGCACCCATGGGTCCCAGGGTGGCATGCTGCGCCTGCGGCACACGCTCTCACCGGCAGCGACAGCGCGAGTGGGCCGGGGCCATTAGCGGGCTTTGTTAGCGGGGCGAGCAATTTGCCTGGTCTGTCTTTCCCAGCCGAGTTCTGGACGCGCCTCCACGACCTGCTGAAGCCCAGTCCTGCCTTCTTCCACTTCATCCTGACCCACTTCAGGTGGTTTTGGGATATTATCAACAGCACCTTCATCAGGGACACGCTTATGAGGCTCGTGCTCACAGGTGAGGGGTTGGAGCAGGTCTCGGGGAGCAGCAGGACTCGGGGACACCCTGGGCATCAGCAGAGGTGTGGGTGGGGGCGGCGCAGCTGCAGTGATGCTGAGCAGCTCCCGCGGGTACGGTGGGCACCGGGCTTGAGTCATCTCACCGGGAGACCCAGGGAGGTTGTCACCCCATCACTCCGTCACCCTGTGACGCCGTCACCCTGCCCGAGGGAGGCTGCCCGGGGGAGGCTGCCTGGCCACGCAGCAGCGGGGTGCAGGGGGTCGCAGGCTGGGCTGCCCACGTGTCCCCAGCCGCACGCTGGGCTGCCAGCCAGCTGGAAAACACGAGCAGCTCTCAGCACGATACCCTCACTGGGCCAAAGGACTCTTAAGCAGCCGCACGGAAAGCAGCCTGTGGAAATATGGAGCTGGCCCTTGTTACTCATGTCCCCACATTCATCACTTTGCATAAATATTTAGGTTCCAGCCCTTGGAGCTGTAGCGACACGTTCACAAGGCTCCGGCTGTTGGTTTTACCATTTCTATGTGGTTGTCATCTCATTCATCATCCAAGAATCCACTTAGCGCACTAGCATGAGCCCTCCTCTTCTGCAGGGAATTGCAGCCTTTTAAAGGCTCGGAGCAAAGCCCGGAACGCCCACATGCCTCCGCTGCCTGTACCTTTCTGGTTTTCGGGGTGGCAGGGGAGGGCGTCTGACAGCACTGAGTGGACAGGCAGGGGCCGGAGGCAGAGCCTGCCCCATGCCCTGGGCCCCACACTGACCCCCATCTCTCCTTTCAGTTCGTGCCAATCTCATCCCCAGCCCCCCCACCTTCAACTCTGACTATGGCTACATCACGTGGGAGGCCTACGCCAATGTCAGCTATTACACCCGTGTCCTCCCGCCCGTGCCGGACAACTGCCCAACGCCCATGGGGACCAAAGGTACGCAGCTGGCCCGGGGGGACCGGCACCGCACGGTGCCAGGCGTGGGGCTGAGTTGCCGGAGCAGCACCCTGGGTCCGTACCTGGTGCAGCATCAGTGTTTCCCACCCATGCCTGAGCTTTCACTGCCATGGACACATGTGCAAGGCACTGCTGGCAATGCCATGTGGTACTGCTGTCCTGCCCAAGCTGGCCCCACGGGCAGAAGGAACTTGATGGCATCTAAAACACTGCTGGGACAGCTCAGGTTGAGCTGCTGGGGCATGTAGCAGCCTGTGTGAGAGGGGTGTAAGGTGTCTGTGCAGACGAGTCAGTGCCTGGTGCTGCAGCAGACGCGGCAGCACTCACTGACAGCTCCGCGGCCAGTACCGGTACCCAGATGGGTCGGTATGGGGCACCCGCCTTCCACCTCCATCCTTCGCAGGGAAGAAGCAGCTCCCCGACCCCCAGCTCCTGGCGGAGAGGTTCCTGTTGCGGCAGAAGTTTGAAGCCGATCCCCAAGGCACCAACCTGATGTTTGCCTTCTTCGCCCAGCATTTCACCCACCAGTTCTTCAAGACGTCCGGGAAGATGGGACGTGGCTTCACCAAGGCGCTGGCGCATGGGGTGAGGAGCGCCGGAGTGGGGGGGCGCAGAGGCGTGCGGGGAGTGAGGAGGGGGACCGGGGCATGCACGGCCTTTTGGAGCAGCCTTGTCACCATGCTCTCTTGGCAGGTGGACCTCGGGCACTTGTACGGGGACAACCTGCAGCGGCAGCACCAGCTGCGACTCTTCAGAGACGGGAAGCTGAAATTCCAGGTACCACCTGGCACGACTGAAACATGTCTCAGCCCTGCGCTCCAGGGTTGTTCGAAGCCCACATCCCTCTGGCAGCCGCCAGGCCAGAGACTCCAGGAGCATCAGGAGACCCCGGCCCTGTAGGAGACCCCAGTCCTGGTGCCCTGTGCAGAGCACTGCCAGGGCCCCCCTCGGTGGCTGCTGGCCAGAGGTGCCATATCAGGGGCATGAGCTTTGGGGTTCAACTGTTCTGATGGCAGCAGGCGTCCTGCAGTTTGGGCTGTACGAGGGGGATGTTTCCATCCTGCTCAGCGCTTGCAGGAGAGCGGCCGTGGTCCCTGTAGGGAGGCAGGTCCCAGCTGGTCAGGCTTTCGCCGGGGTGGTTTTCTCCCCTCCTCCCTTTCTGCCATCCCGTTCTTGTCTCCCCAAGGTGGTGGATGGAGAGGTGTACCCCCCCATGGTCACCGATGCTCCGGTCCACATGGTCTACCCGTCTGCCGTCCCCAAGGAGAAGCAGCTGGCGATGGGGCAGGAGGTGTTTGGGCTGTTGCCGGGACTCTGCATGTATGCCACGCTCTGGCTGCGCGAGCACAACCGTGTCTGCGACATACTGAAACGGGAGCATCCCACCTGGAGCGACGAGCAGCTCTTCCAGACAGCTCGTCTCATCCTCATCGGTGAGGACCGGTGGTGCCGCAGGGCACAGGCACCGTGGAACCCCATGTCCCGCCTCACTGGGCAAGCCCCAAGGACTTGGGCATTGGTCTGGGACTTGAGTCTCTGGCCCGGCAGCTGCCGGAGGGATGTGGGCTTCGAACAACCCTGGAGCACAGGGCTGAGGGTGATAGCCAGTCCAGTTTTAGAGGCTGGAGGAATTTCTCTGGCAGCCTTCTGGGGATCATTGGCTTTGGTCCGTATAGCAAAAATTGGCTTTGGTCCATCAAAAAAATTCATTTGTAATAATTTTGTCATAGTTTTGAATTATTGCATTTTGATGTTCTATGATAAATTTACTATAATCTCAAGAAATGTCATTTTTGACCAAAATCCAGAAGAGACCCATGTCACCACGTTATCTCTAAGAAGCGTATTGAGGTCAGCTTCCTCAGGAGCCATTTCGCTTTCGGCAGACTGACCTTTGCTGGTGAAAAAATAATTCACTGAAAAATTCCCAACCAACTCAACAAGCTCGTAGTCAGAAAGGTCCCAGGTGGTGGGTGGGTGCTGGGACGTGCTGCCATAGCACGTGGGTAACATCTCGGGGTACAGAGCCGGTAGCTCCTGCTGCTGCCAGCTAATGGCTGCTTCTCTCACCTCCTGCTCAGGGGAGACCATTAAGATTGTCATCGAAGACTACGTCCAGCATCTCAGTGGGTACTTCCTCAGCCTCAAGTTCGACCCCGAGCTGCTGTTTGGGACGCAGTTCCAGTACCGGAATCGCATCGCGGTGGAGTTCAACCAGCTCTATCACTGGCACGGTCTGATGCCCGACTCCTTCGTCATCCAGGGGGAAGAGTACAACTACGAGCAGTTCCTCTACAACACCTCCATGCTCATGGACTATGGCGTGGAGGCGCTGGTGGAGTCCTTTTCCAAGCAGACTGCAGGAAGGGTAAGGTCCTGCTCTCCTCTCCCTGTCAGCGCCAGGGCTGTGGGACCCCGGGAGGGATGCTCACGGTACCGTGGAGGCAGACGCTGCTGTGCTGTCGGGTGGTGGAGCCCAGCTCTGGGGCTCGCAGGGCGGCAGTGGGGTTTCGAGCTCCTCTTCTTCCACTGCGCAAAGCTCCGGTCCAAGGCAGCTCTGGTCCAAGACACGACCTGTCCCTGCAGTGCCTGGAGCACAGCTGTAGCACACCAGTATCGAACCTCCCTGTTTGGCAGTGGGTCGCTGTCACACATAGAGTCTTCTACCCAGGGCAGCACCCAACGTGCATGTCGTGACTCCTCCCCACAAGCACCGTAGCAAGGCTGGGCCTTGGCAGCCCCGTTTGCTTGTTCTCGGGACTCTGTAGTAAACACCACGGTGATGCCAGGAGCCTGTGGTAAGCTGGGATCTCCTGGCCCAGACCGGGCTGTGGAGCAGCCTGGGTATGGGAGCAGCCTGTCTGGCACTGTTCTTTGCTGCCATCACATGGATGTTTTCTTCCAAGCGATTACATCTACATTTCTGACCGTCTTTTCTTGTGCAAAGCAGCAAGGCTGAGGTGCAGACCCGCTGCTCTTCGGGTGTTTGGGTTCTCCCTGTGATCCCAAACCCCTGTAATCTCTCCCCTCCTCCCAGGCCGGTGGGTCACTGTCCATCCAGGGCTTCTCCTGCACTGTTCCCTGACCCACCCTGGGAACCGGACCGGCTTTAACCCAAGCTGCTCTACAGCTTTTTTTTGGCAATGCCCAGTGATTCCCCCTCTTCTCGCTGCTGTGATGACGTGCTGGTCTCCCTGACACCATGCCCAGGACACGGATGCTTTAGTACGGGGTGGTGGGGCTGTGCTGTGGCTCCCCTGGAGCAGCTGCCAGTGCCGCCTCGTGCCTCACATGTGCTCCTCCTTGTGTTCTCACCCTCCAGATCGGTGGGGGACAAACCATCAATGCTAACATCTTGAAAGTGGCCGTTGGGGTCATCCAGGAATCCCGGCAGCTGAGGCTACAGCCGGAAGAGGTTTGGCATGAAGCCCTACAAGTCCTTTCAGGAGCTAACAGGTAGGACTGCAGTGCTGCTGCAGGAGTTCTCGGGGCTTTGCTCTGCGCTCACAGCAGAGTATGAGACAATGAGCTGCCCCCCTGCCGCTGGGCTTGCCCAGCAGAGCAGCCGTTCCTGCCCATCCAAACCTGGCCTGGTTGTGACCCTCGCACCGGGGTGGACAGGGCTGATGCCTTGGTTGCAGGGGTCCTTCCTCCTGCGAGGCTGGACGAGTAGTCCAGAGGGCAGCGCCTGGCCTGCGAGCTGGGCTTGCCACTGTCTGGGTTGCAGGAGCTGCCACGTTCCCGTTACCCACAGCAAGGCCAGTCCTTGCCGGGGGTGATTCCCTTGCTAAAGCACTCTGATGTTCACTTGATGCAGGAGAGGAAGAGAAGGCGGCAGAGCTGGAAGAGCTGTATGGAGACATTGATGCTCTGGAGTTTTATCTGGGCTTGCTGCTTGAGAAACCCCAACCCAATGGTATTTTTGGAGAAAGCATGGTGGAGATCGGAGCTCCGTTTTCCCTGAAGGGGCTTCTTGGAAACCCCATCTGCTCCCCAGAGTACTGGAAACCCAGTACATTCGGTGGAGCAACTGGCTTTGAGATAGTTAAGACAGCATCACTCAAGAAACTCGTGTGCCTCAATGTGAAGAAGTGCCCGTACGTGGCGTTTCATGTGCCGGATGCTGCGGAAAATGGCAGCCCTCGGGCTGGTGGACCATCTACTGAGCTGTAGCACCAGAACAGCCTGCCCAGGTAGAGACCATCCTTGCCCAGACACCGGCTGATCCGAGCTCCCGGCCTGGCGCTGAATGTCCCGTTCCTTCCTGCAGGGAGCGGCAGGGACGTGGGGACCTGCCCACCCCTGTGCCGAGCAGGAGCAGGACAGAAGATGGTCTCACCCTGGGCGTCCTCCACACCAGCCCTTGAGGAGAGGCTGGTTCCAGCTCTGTGAAAAGCTCGAGTGCCTCAGGAGTGTGGCTGCTGCCGCTGTCCTCAGCAGACCCATTTCTCTTGCTAGCTAATACCTTGCACTAAGCCAGCTCTGGGGTTCCCCAGGGGACGCCCACCTCCCCAGGATGCTCTGGACTCCCCTGCGCTTTGTCACCATCCGCCCCCACTGCTTTCCAGCACCAGGCCACCAGCAGCCCCTCTTCCGCAGGGCTTCCCCTGCGCGGAGGAGCGCAGAGCCAGGGGAGCCCTTGCAGTCCTTCCTCCGCTACTGCACCCGGTTAAGCCACTGAGCTCCCCAGGGGAGGTGGAGGAGGCAGGTGGCAGCGCACATAGGGTCAGGGAGGACATGCTGTGTTCATGTGGTGGCTGAGCTTGCAGTAGGAACCTGCCCTGATCTGCTTCTCCTGCAGCTGCTCCGGACTGCCCACCCCAGCCTGCCCAGCACGTGGCATAGCCGAGACACAGCCGAGAAGAAGGAACCAAAGCAACGTCTCTGCGGGAGGAGACCAGGGGAGAAGCATCAGATCAGATTGCCTGCTGGGACCCCGGCACGCACCGCCGGCCCCCTGAGCAGGGCTGCTTGGAGCAAGATGCTACCTCTGTGTAAACACAGTGATGAAGTGTCTTCCATCCCGCGATCGTTACACTGCCCTGCATTAATAGCTCAGCAAATGGCATCCCCAAGGCACACAGAGCCCGCTTCTGTCCCGCTCCAGAAACGCATGCAGATGTCAGCCTTTGCTGACATAATGACATGGTGGCTGGCAGCCACTGTCACTGGCCTTGATCCCCATCAGATCTCAGTTCACCTCCAGGAGAATGAACATTTAAAATAATAAATGATTTAAAAAACTCCTTTCAATTCCTCCAGCCAGTTTCCAAGCTTTGTCTCACCAGCACAAGGCCCTGCAAGAGGGCAGGACGCTTGGGAGGCAGCAGGAGCTGGGGGAGAGAAGTCCCTGGAGCATTGCTGGAAGGCTGGTGTCCCTGCTGGGACACAGCTGGGACATGCAGCTGGAGCAGGCCATGGTCACCAGCGCTGTGCTGTGTCATTGCTGACTGCATCAGAAGAAATAAACGGAGCGACCCTCCTCCTTAGGAATTGCCTCGGCAGGGGGGTCTCTGAGCCTGGGTCTCCCGTGAAGGTTTGAGCTACGCTGCCCTCCGGCCACCACCACCCCACATCCCTGTGCTGCCCTGCTCCGATGATGATAACACAGCGCTTACATCCAACAATATGTATTTCAATCACATAAAATCTATTCACATGTAAATCTTGCTGTATTTTGTAGGCATGAAATAGCCACAGTCTGCAAGAGAGCAGCTGGCTGCAGTTTCCCCCTGTGCTGAGCCAGAGGAGGGGACCGCTCCTGGGCCCCTGCTCCGTCCCAGCAGGACTTCCACCCAGCATCATGACTTCATGCCACAAGGCCATGGGGGCTGCGCTGCTCCTGGCCAGACCCTTCTTGCAGAGTTCTCCACCCTGACCCCCCTGGGCACTGTGGGCTGCTCCTCTGCCCATCACACAAAACCATGGGAGACAAGAGGAGAACCAAGGGAGGGAGTCCTGGGCCAGGGTGCTGCCCCAAAACCTGGGGCTAGGCAGCACGTGGGGGACGGGGCAGGCAGGGGTGAAGAGGGTGACAGATGTGATATCCCCAGGTAGATATATCCAGGTAGACACAGCCCCCTCCATACTCTCTGCTGCAATTCCCTAGGTGGGGACGAGGATGGATGGGGGTGTTGGCCATTTCTGGGGGGAGCAACAGTCTGTGATGTCCCACCTTCTGCCCTGGAAGTTTCAATCATTTCTGGTTGCACCAGCTGATTTTTTTATCCCTGATCAGCCAAGTATGTCATGATCCAAATGGATCCAGAGGGGGTTGTGAGGCACTTCCAGGCGATAATAAAACTGGTTATAGGGTGGTACAGGAATTTCAAACCAGGGAGCTTGAAAAAGCTGGTGCCTTGGCCAGGGATGTGTTGGGAGGACGTCATGGCAAAGGAACATCTGCAAATGGAGACTCCCAAGGCAAGAGCCTTCTCACTCACCCTCTTTAACCCTTCAGAAATGAGATGATTTTACCAGGATATCACCTGGATTTGAATTTCCTTATGGCACACAGGGAGGCAGAGGGGCAGGTCTGACCCACAAAGGCACAGCGGGCAGGTTTGCCTGCTGCATGCTCAGCTGGGCTGGCCCTGCCCTGCCCTGCCTGTGCCCTGCCCAGCCGTCCTGCCCTGCTGGGGACCAGCACGCAGAGACCCCAGTCTCATGGCAGGGACAGCACCACCAGGCACTGACAGGCTCCTAAGAGGTGTAGAAGTGCTGAGTAGCAAGCCGCGAGGAGGACACGGTCCTTTCCCATCCCACAGTTCCCTTTCCCCTTCCCATCCCCTTTGGATGGGAAGTCAGCGCGCAGTGGTGACGCTGTGCCCAGGTACCAAAACGACCAACACCCGCCGACAGCTTGTTACGTGGCAGTGGTGGGGGTCTCTCCCCCAGGGTCTGCCCCATCACCGGCTGTACCCTGTGCTGTGACCCCCCCCAAGGACCACGACCCTCGTTGTGCTTCCCTCGCTCAGCCAGCAATGCAATGCTCAAGAAAAATGCAAATGGCAGCAAATGGGGAGCAATACACGGTCCAAAGACCGTCAGTGTGTCTCAAACCCACACTGGGACCCACGCGCCCCGTGTCTCCAGCCAGCCAGAGCACACTCCCAGAGCGTGCGTATAACTGCCCTTGCTCTGCGCTGAGCTGCTCCAGCCTCAAGCATCTTTCACCATCTGGCTAAAGGCACAAGCTCGGCTCGTTTCAGTTAGACCACAAACATCCTGCTTTTGTTTGTAGCTATCAAAGGCTGCCAGTGCTGTTTTGGTACCAAATGATAAGCATATAATGGCCCATCAGGCACACAGAGAGCTGCCTAGACGCTCTCTGCCTCCAAGGAGGAATGTTTCCTCAGGAACTAGCTCAGCTGAGCCAACAGAGGCAAATCTGACATCTCTTCCAGCCGTGCCACCAGCTCCCACGCGGCACAGTCCAGGACAGCAAAGCATCTCCCTCCTGTACCTCACCCTTCTGCTAGCAGGAAAAGCTTTGAAATAGTTTCTTTGTTTGTCGCCGCCCCCCGCGGGGGCGCCGCGGCCAGCAGCCCCAGCTCCCACAGCCCCGCCGGCTCCTCCGCCGGCACCGGGGCCTCGCCGTCCCCTGCCCGGGGATGTGCAGATGAGGCGGCCCAGGACGGGGTCACGCCGCAGCGGTGACCTCTTGCCGGCGTCTCGGGCCTTGCACCATGTGAGCAGAGCTGCTCCTCAGCTGGAGGGACTTGGCTGCATCCAAGCACAGCTGCAACGTGCGTCCAAAACCACCTCCCATCCCGGGGCGCCCCACGGCCGGGGCGATCACCTCTGTTTTAAATTGAAGCAAGACTGCCGTGGCAGTTCCTGCACCCGTCCTGTGTACCCTGTGCTGTGACCCCCCCCAGGGACCACGACCCTCGTTGTACTTCCCTCGCTCAGCCAGCAATGCAATGCTCAAGAAAAATGCAAATGGCAGCAAATGGGGAGCAATACACAGTCCAAAGACCGTCAGTGTGTCTCAAACCCACACTGGGACCCACGCGCCCCGTGTCTCCAGCCAGCCAGAGCACACTCCCAGAGCGTGCGTATAACTGCCCTTGCTCTGCGCTGAGCTGCTCCAGCCTCAAGCATCTTTCACCATCTGGCTAAAGGCACAAGCTCGGCTCGTTTCAGTTAGACCACAAACATCCTGCTTTTGTTTGTAGCTATCAAAGGCTGCCAGTGCTGTTTTGGTACCAAATGATAAGCATATAATGGCCCATCAGGCACACAGAGAGCTGCCTAGACGCTCTCTGCCTCCAAGGAGGAATGTTTCCTCAGGAACTAGCTCAGCTGAGCCAACAGAGGCAAATCTGACATCTCTTCCAGCCGTGCCACCAGCTCCCACGCGGCACAGTCCAGGACAGCAAAGCATCTCCCTCCTGTACCTCACCCTTCTGCTAGCAGGAAAAGCTTTGAAATAGTTTCTTTGTAGGACTAACATGTACCAACCCCAGGCACAGCATCCAACACGCTATTGAAACCTCCTCCTCCACAAGCCTGGGGTCCCACAGCCCCGCACATGGAGCTTCCCCCAGCCCAGCACTGCCGAGCCCTTGCGTTTTCTTTGCTAGTCTTTCAGCCATGGCAGTTTGCAGAAATCGCTCACATCATCACCACCTTGTCCATCACAATGCCGCAGCCACATCCAACGTAGAAGACAGTAGTTTGCATCTAAACGCGGTGTTCAGTCTGGTGCATCCACCAGCATCACCCAACCAAGGCAAGGGCTCCAAGCGCCCCCCGCCACTGGGGAGCTCTGGGGACAGCACAGAGGCGAGTGCTGCCAGATGTACCCTCTGTTTGAGCTCTCGGTAAACACAGCTCATAGGACGTCCTCTGATTTTTTAAACAAGTGCCTCCGAGGAGCCCAGCTACAGCTTGCCTGGACAGGGATGGACGTGGACAGGAGGACGATGCTGCCTGTGTTCGTGCAGTGTGAGCAGCAGCAATGAAAACATCTGTCTGTTGTTGGGCGATGGTTCACTGAGCAGGAGGTTATTACTGATCAGAGCAGACAATACAAGGAAGATTAATTGTCTGCAATGCTTTTTCATGCAAAGTGGTCCCTACGGTTAGAGGGAAAGGGGCAGAGGTTGCAGCCGGGCTGCAGCTGCTCCAGGGTTTCCCTCTCCAGGCCGCCCGCACTGCTCCAGCACCACGCCCGATCAAGATCCATGCTGGAAAGTCATCTAAACCCCATGGTGGCAAAAATAAGTAGGGTCCTGAGGCTGAATGGAACAGCAATCCCCCGTCTGAGTAAGTCACCCGGACTCCCCTGAGCCCACCCCAGCAGGCCCCTTTGCAGCGTGAGTCATGCCAGCAATTGCACAGGAACATTTGTCTGGATTTTCAACAAAGGCATATGTTGAACATTCTAGAAAGAAGAGGTAGATCAGAGGCCAAAAAAAATCCATATAAACTTTTATTTTCTAAATCTTGTCCCTTATTGCCTGGCAGCCAGGTCAGCACCATGATTAAATGCCTGAGTTAAGCTCATCCCGTGATTTCATTCCTGCCCTCGCTGAGCAGCCATCTGCATTTCCTTGTGCATTTGCATTCTGTGGCCAAATTCTGCTGTTTGTACTGGAACATCATTAAAAGTGAACAAGCTCAGGTGATTTTACACTCCTCTCCCATTGCAGAATTATGTCCTCCTGTAAAAATAGTTGTTTCTGGCTGCCTCTTTGCAGTAGGCTGCTTTTTCCAAAACAAAACATTTCCCAGAGGCAACACAACCTACCTGACGTGTTTTTTTCAACTCCTGTTTATAGTACTTCTTGAACATGAAAATCAGACACAGAGGTGACTTAGACTTGGTACATGTACCTTCTTGATCTGAAGGGTGTATCACATAAACCAGACCAGGCTGCAGCCAAGGTGACGCACAAAACCAACCGACCAGAGAGCCGCTACCTGCAGGAAGAGCCAAATCCACCTGGGCCATGTCTGCATGTTTGTGCTACGCTTGAGAAGTAGCAGACAGAAAGTGGGACAAGGAAAAGGACAGACAGCAAAGACAGAGTACATAGTGTCTCAGTAAGAGGAAGTCTTGTTCATTAGATCTTATCCATGCATTAATTTACAGTCATATTTTAGATATACAACTAGTGTAAATGTCTCAAAACATTTAAAGGTGATAAATACCAACCTTATTTTGCAGGACCAGCTGTTTTCTTTCTGACCCCTCTTGTCCTGTTGAAACTAACAGATTTAAGAAAGCTTGCATTTATTTATGGCTTTTAGATGCTGGCAGAATTGCATCCAAAAAGTGTTAAAGCGTGAACGATGCCTGCACAGCTCTGCCAGCGTGAGACAAGGTGACTCCGGTCGCTTCGCACCAGGACTCCAGACTCCCTTGGCCTTTCACGAGCGATGTTTGTATCTCTCACCAATTTCATCAGATGCACTAAAAAAAGCAGCAGAACTGCTGGTGAGAGGAGGTGGGGGAAGAAACAACTGGGAGACGTCAAGGGACGTAAATGCACAGGCTGGTGCCTGCCCGGGTTCACCGCCGGGCGCTGCCTCTGGACGCTCCTTCCCGAAGTTTGCTGCCTGGGCCCCTGCGGATCTGCCTGCGGGCAGGGGCTGCCTGCGCTGCCTGTCCGGCAAACAGAAACCCCTTCAGGGAGCTGTGGCTCAACGGCCAGGGAGCGTGGCTGTGCAAATCAGCTCTTTCCTAACTGCAGCTGGTGTCTAGCAGCACAAAGAACACTTGGCCAAGGCAAGATAAGGTCTAGTGACAAAATATTTGAGCGTACATCCCCTTCAGCCATCACAGTTGACTAACTTCTACCACCCGCCGTACCCTGCACAGTACCGAAAACCACCATCACAATCTATCAGGTTTCTGCCAAGAACAACGTCATGCACTAGGGAAGCTGCTGTGCCAGAAAAGATAGATGAAACATCTTTGACAAAATTAAAAAGCATCCTTTATTCAAAACCAAACCATTTAGTAGGAATACATCAATTTAAATGAAGTTCTGACGGTGACAGAGTACAACGGCTTTGGGCGAAGGAGAGGCACCTGGATCAAACCGAAAACCTGATGCTCTCAATGCCAAATTGAATGTTTCAAAACAGTTTTATTTTATGTAGGTGTTTGTACAATTTCATTTTCACTTTAGTCCCCGTATGCGTCTATAAATACACCCCAATTCTTAATCTGCAGGTCAGGACCACATCTAAAATTAGAGAAATTGAGCAGAATTTAACACTTCGACCAGAACATTTACAGATACAGTGTTGGTACGAGTTGTAATTTTTATTTGTATGGAATGGATAGGGGACAGACACAAATTAGTAACTAACCTATTCTAAATTAGTTTTATTTTGTTGTATTGTTTAATGCACATTAAGAATGCTGTTTTTTTGAGGGCACGCAACTACCAGTTGGTCAGTTTGGAAGGATTTAGCTTCAAGAATGGACGAAAGCATTGGAGCAGTGCCCAGCCCTGCCGGCAACGCTTCTCAGCAGCAGCCGCCGCCGCCAGCCTCCCCTTCCTTCTCATACTTGGGCTGTCGGTGATGAGAACAAGCAGCAGCATTATAGCACATCTTCTCCCTACTCCCCTCTCCCTTGTGCTTATTATATTCTTCCAGATCAATGATTAATTGGATTCAGACCTTTTTTCTTTTCCTTTTTGCTATTGGCACTGTAAACCATCTATCATATACCTGAGCACTGGAGATTAATAACCAGGAGTCACCTTGCTGCAGGCAATGCGACATAGAGCAGCAGGAGAGGTTTTGATCCTATTACAGTTTTGCTGCCATAGGGGCAAAAAAAAGCACTTTATAAAAATAAAACTTCAGAACAACTCAAGCAGTCAGCTCTCTCCCGACCCCCTCTCCAAGCCAGGTTTATTATGATGCTAATATGCACCCTGTCTGCACAACAGACTTCACCGAATCTCGTCCTGAATATAAATTACAGCTACTTTGATTTTTTTTCTTAAGTGTGCTGATATCCATGCTCAATGATTTAATTTCATATAACTTTCATGGGGTTTTTTTCTGCAATTCTGAGATGAAAAGAAATAATCTCTTACCACATTTTAAAACCTGGATTTCTGCCAGTTTCCTTAAAACAGCTACAATTTGTGCCAATTCAGTAATTTTTAATTACAAATTATTTATTTTTCTGCTTATACTACTTTTTAAAACACAGTTAAAATAGATACAATTACAAATTCTTCTTTTTCTATCCTAAGATCCATTCTTATTAAGAACCTAGTGCTTATACAGAGACATTTGCATTTCTTCCTGGTGTTCCAAAGTGCCTTACATAAAACTTGCAATTAAATTTAATCACTAAACATGGCATTACATTGGGTCATATATTTAGGGAACGATAGTCTACTTTCCTCAAAATTGAAAAATAACAAGCAAAGTAAGTAATGCGTGAGAAAGCAAACATGCTGTAATTTCAAATGAAGTATGTAGAAGACGATTCACTAATAACTAAGCATAGAGCGCACACATTCAGCGTGCTCACTTGGGCTCGGTACGCTGAGCAATTCGGCCACACTGTCATCTGGCCAGTAAAGCCTTTATCTCGCTCTGCGTCATCGGAGGTTTTCGTGCTTGCATTCGCTGTAAATTGCTAACGGCGTCTAACACTGCCCAGGTTATCTCACAGCTGCGTAGCACCAGACTTGCTGGAGGCAGGGTGAACTTTAATGTACTAGAAACCCTGAAAATTACTTCCCCGTATTATGACTTGATTCGCAAAGGAAGTAAAGCACAAAGAAAATAAACAAACACACCTTAATGAAAATGTAATCACTGACAAATGGTAATGACAAAGGTGCTGCAGGAGGGAAGCGTAATATGCAGCTGCTGCATTCAGTAGCAATAATGTTCATAAAGAGGCAAATGGGCTCAGCCAGCACGGGATGGCTTTTATTCTGTGTCCAGAAGTGGGAGTCACCCTGTGTTTTTGGGGAAGATGAGAACTTTAAGATCAGTGTCACTGGGCAACTGAAACAGCCGCGATGATGCTTTTGAGGAGGCCTTTGTTATTTCTCACAAAGGACAGAGGGAAAAATTGCAGTCTCCACATAGGTTTCACCTCCACCCCACAAGACTTTTTTCTGTTAGTGAACTCCACTGACGCGTGATACAAAAAACATGCTCCCGAAGAGCTGCCATCAGAGGAGAACCAGGACAGTGGCAAT